CCTGCTGTGGGGAAGAGGGGGGTGAGCCAGCCCTCACCCCCCTGCTGGGCTGGGGACCCCCTTGGCCGAGCACCCACCGTGCTGCCGGGGGGGTTTGCCACCATCCTGAAGCCATGCATTCCCCTGCCCGGGCTTCCCACTGTGGTGTTAGGCAACGGGAGCAAGCGAAACTGCTGTGGTTGGACCCAAAGAAGCCACCTCCCGCCTTAACCCTGCAAGGACGAGGATCTTGGCAAAGCCATCCCGTGCCAGCTAGGATCCCACGGCCCATCTGGGACCCCAGAGCCCCAAGGAGGACTCCAAGGAGCCACCACCCACCTCGTCGCAGACATGGAGAGCAAAGAAGAGCACCAGCATGCCAGTGGAGGGGTAGCGCCCGTGGTGCTCGGTCCAGCGGTCGTGGATGTACTTGAAGAAGGCAGGGTTGTAGATCTGCACCTGGGAGGATGGGCTGGGGTCAGCGCCAGAGCCCCAGCCACGCTCCCTTCGGCATTGGTGCCCCAGGAAGGAGCGTTAAGATGCGTGGAGGGAACCCCCTGGGGAAGATGGGATGAAGGCCATGGCCACATGGGTGCTTACTGCAGCAGTTAGAACAAGTTCCCCCCCTTACCTTTTCTTTGTCCACCCGCAGAAAAGGCTTCACAGGTGCGTACGTGCTGGGGAAAAAGCAGTGAGGCAGGTGAGCTCCTGGCAGTGCCGCACCCCCCAACCCCAGCCTGAGCTGCCCTAGGGCTAGCGCTGGGGGATGCTCTGGGAGGGAGGAATCCCCACCGCTCCCAGGGGAGCTGCCCCCAAAGCAGGAGAGCGGCCAGCCTGGTGCCACCAGTGCCCACTGGGTACTTACAACCTGATCTGGCCGGTGGAGAGGGCACTGGCAATCCAGAGCAGGTCCAGGGTTTTGAAGGGCACCAGCACGAAGCTGACATTGGCGGGCAGGTTCTTGGCACTCTCAGGGTACATGAAGTGGTGCGTGGTCCGGCCACCCACGTCGCCCTCAAAACCCACCGTGGGGGCCTGGTTCATCCTGGGGAGAGAGTGGGGAAGGTGGCACCCCCCTCCCAGCAACCCTGTCCCTTGCAGAGGACACGGGTGTCCCCCCCCACCTGCTGTTGAACAGCACCGAGAAGCAGTTTCCCAGCCTTCTGGTGCTCAGGGTGCTGGGATGAGCTGAGGGTCCCCCCAGCCAGCACAGGGGAGGTGGCAAGGCTGGACCCACTCCCACCTATCCCAGCACTTGGCGGGACCCATGATGGCCTCTGTGACTGAGCAACTGGAGCCAGGACATGGCTGTGGCGTACGGCACAGTGATAACACTACCCCCCCCCCCCCCCCCACCCCCCCCCCCC